AATCATAATGAGCTATTGTGGTAACAGCAAAACTTCAAGACACAAACATCAAACAAGAAAACAACTATGACTACGACTCTGGGTAGAACTCAATTAGCAAAGATGAAGCAGGAGATTAAGAGAGTTACAAATTTTTTTTTAAAAATAAATGAAATGACAGTGGTTGAGGAAAAAATTGTAAAAGAAATGAGACCTATGGAGGAAAAAACTGGAAAATGAATTAGCAGTCTGTCCCAAGAAGTACAAACTCTCTGAAAATTAGAATGAACCAAACAGATGGTATGCATTTTATCTTCAGGCAAAATTGACCATGTATTACAGCAGTGGTATAAAATTCAAACAGTAAAAGGGGCCACTAATCCCTACATAAATATGCCTATGGATCTTGGGCCCTTTGTCTTCTTTAATTCCTATGGGCCATGATGATTTTCATACTCTTAGGATACACTATTTTTTTCTATGCTACTTAAATATAAATACTTCATCCTTGTTTATGATTGCTTCCAACTGCTCACACATATTTACCTTTTTTACGGTTTGTTTGTTTTTTTTTATTCCTATGTTTACATTCCAAAGTATCTACTCAGCTTTGGTTATTTTATCAACATTGTTTTGAAGTCTTCTATTTCATTAAAGATCCATTTTTTCCCCTATAGGATTATAAATTTTTCTGGGTAAATTATTCCAGGTTGTAACATATATATGTATGTCTATATATATAAATATGTATGTACATGTATGCACCCACTTGTTTATTTTTTCCCTTTATATGAAAATTCTAGATTTGGGTTATGATGTTCTATTTTCACTTTCCCTCTGATTCTAATATATCTGGACAGTTTTCATTCATGATTTCTCCAAATATGGTTTACAGGCATTGGTTTTCGTCATGGCTTTCAAGCTGTCTAATAATCATTAGAATTTTTTCTCCCTGAAATATTTTCCAGAAGAGTTGTATTTTATATCAGATGGCTTAAATTTTCTCCTTTTTTTTCATTCTTTGTACTTTGACATTTCTTGTTTCATTGAGAATTCATTAATTTCAGTTAGATCCACTCTAATTTTCAACAAATCTATTGACTTGGGTAAGGTTTCACACCTTTTGTAATTACCTGTTAATTCTCCATCAAAGTCCTATCCTCTAGAACTCTCATTTCTTTTCACATTCTTTTCTCTATAGCACTCATTTATAATATTTTTAAACTCTTAATTTCTCCCAGGAATTCTAGTTAATCATATGGCTAAGCTATATTTTAATTTTAGGCTTTGCTTACATACTTTGGGGAATTATTCTCTTCTGAGTATTTGTTTTGGGTGCCTCAGGCTCCATAATGGCTATTTATCCTTATCTTTCTGTGATTACTTTTTCTTCCATTCTTAATACCTGAATTGAGACTTTGTGTTAGGGCCTGGATTTTCACACTTTTGGAGGGACTACTGGGCCCTTGTTTGGTCCTGTTCCATATTTTCTGGGTCTTCACGCTATTATCTCCAGCTATTGAGCCACACACATATAACCATTAAGGACCTCTGTGGCAGTTCAGGCAAGTAACTGCAACAGAACTGCAGACTTTCCTCTAGTCAATGCTCTGGTCACTGAGATGGAAGCTCTAGCCCAGATATCTGAGCTTAACCTGAGATACTGCTCAGGGTCAGAGTGATAGATCCATAGGCTCATCGATGAGTCTGCATTCCCTTCTCTGCAGGCCCTAGCTTCTATTCTTCTTTGTCGTTATTCCAGGTTCTACTTAGCAGCAAGCAAATCAAAATCTCTGTACTGAATCCATAGTCCTGATCTGCAGTCTGAATGACAAAGCTAAATGTTCACCTCTATTACCCTGCCCCATCCAAATCCATTACACACACAAAGGTTCAATATGCCTGAAGGTTTTATATGGACTTCAGTGGATGGTCCTCCATCCTATTGCCCAAAGATCTTTCTACTGGCTATCTCCTCTGATAACTTTGGCTGAAAAAATTACTTACTATGGTTTCTCCTTGGATTTTTGAATCATCACTCAGTCTGATGCTCTTCATCAATCTTCAGTGGAGCTGTTAGAGACAGTTAACCTGTATTGCTTCCTCTTATTCCTTCATCTTTGCCAGTATCTGAGAGACACTGTCAACTAAGAAATGGCAAGGTTTGGCAACTATTTGGATACTTGTGGGTTGAACGAAAATGAGGAGTCAAGAATGAAACCAAGTCTGTAAATCTTCTTGACTGAAAGGATGACAGAGACCTCAAAAGAAAAAAGGAAATTTTGCAGAGAAGTGGGTTTTGAAAGGAGAAGTAACATAATAAGATCTGAAATGTAGACTGTAAACTATGTCTGTTCATGCTGTGTGACACAAAGACTTGTGTCTTATCCAAAGATGGAGAAGGCCTTTACTCAGGGATCATTGCCTTAGAGTTTGAGCTCATTCTCTGAAGAGCACCTCCCACAGTCATAAATTGAACTAGGGGACAGAAGGTGGGTATGTTATTAAACTGAGAAGAATTTTCACAATGTCACCTATGGAGCTACTGCTATGAGTGATTGGGATATAGTTACATCATAACAGCCCTATGGAACTTGATGTAAAGTATAAGAAGAGGGAGGGAGACTGCCTACTTGCTTGGCAGAAGAGAGGATGAAATAGGGAATGTTGGGTTATGCTGGGTAAAAGATAAATGTATTAGAGATAAATCCAAGATCTGATTATTTTCTGGAGAGGTCAGATTTAAGCCTTTCTTGCCACCCTCCAATTTGTTGAGAACATGACTATTTGGGGTCATACTATGGCCCCTTAGGGGCCAGTACTTTAGAAACCACTGGTCAAAACCATGCATGCAAAATTTAAGCAGATTTAAGTGTTTTACACTATTTAATTTTCAGTGAAGGTAGCAAGTCTTCCCCAATATAAGAGAGGGTAAGCTCCTGAAGAAGATACTTAATATTTTGTATTTTCAAGCCTTGACTCCTATTACATTATAAAATACTTGAGGATAGTTATGTAGTTTTATGTTTTTTGCATCCCCTTCACAACACACACAAAAAAATGTTTTGTATATGGTAAATTCTCAAGAAAAAGTAGATTGATGTGCACTGAATTTACTTGTCTAACAATCATGTATTTTCTCATCATTCTCACACATATTCATGCCCAAGAAATGGCCAGACAAATGGTTTTCCAACTAAATGGCAAAAGTTGCTTAACTTTAAGTCCTCTTCCAACATCTCCCCAATTCCATGAGCAAAACCCTACCCAACCTTTCCCAAATTCCATGAAAAAATCACCCTAAACACTTTCAAACCATAAAGACAGGAGGCACAAAAAGTTGGTAAGAGGTAATAATTTAGAGCCATAATCACCAACTACTTGAAAAGGTTACTTCTTACTCTGAACCACATGAACACAGCAAAACTCTTCTACCTACAAATGACACAATGTAAAGCAATACGAGTAGTGTAATGCAATGGAAAAGACACTGGACTTCGAGTCAAAATGATCACATTGCAGTCCCAAGTCTGCTACCTGGTAGCAATCCAAGTCACAACCCTTTTGGACTTTAGTTTCCTGATATGAAAGAATGCTTAAACTACCTATCTTACAGACAAGGTGGTATAGTGGAATCAGAGGACTTGTGGTAAAATTCCACCTCTGAAACACTGCCTGTATGACTTTGAGTAAGTCATTTCTCATCTCTGGCCTTCAGTTTCCTCATGAGGAAAACAAGAGGGTGGAACTAGATTATTTTTAAGGTGTCACTCAGCTTTAAATTTATGAACCTATAAAGAAGTTATTTGTGAGGAATGTGCTTCACAAGCTAAAAACTTTACATAACTATGACATTATTATTATAAAAACATACTTCTCTATCAAATTGGGACCTTACAAAAGCACACAAGCAAAAAAATGAAGCCACAAAATCTACCCCTGACCGTCTCCCCTTTGAGTGAAGTATCACAGGACATTCTACTGGAAAATGGTACTTTTTGCTTGTATACAGTATTATATTCCTCATGCACTGACTTTCCTAGAAAAAAAAATAGAAATCTCTGTGCTTTAAATTGTTTCAAATTCAAAACCACAGTTCTAAAAGAAGTAACTTGAGTCAGCAGTTTATTTATTGACAATAATTAACATTACTGACAACTTCATTCAAGAGCAGACACTAATGCAAGGGTTCTTAAGCTTTTTTTCATGATATGGAATCCCTTGTAACTCTGGTGAAACCTATGGACCCCTTCACAGAATAATGTTTTTAAATGCATAAAATAAAATACATAAAATTACAAGAGAAACCAATTACATTCATAATAATAATATCTAACATTTATATAGTGCTTATTATGTGCCAGGTGCTGTGCTAAGTGTTTTACAATTTTTATGGCATTTGATCCCCACAATAATCCTGGGAGGTAGGTGCTATTATTGTCCCCATTTTACAGAGGAGGAAACTGAGGTAAATAGAGGTTAAGTGACTTGCCCACATGACACAACTAGTAAGTATCTGAGGCCAGATCTGAACTCAGGTTTTCCTGACATTAGGCCTGGTGCTCAATATACTGTGCTACTTAGCATCAAATAAAGATGTCATTCATTTCCCACTCAAGTTCATAGACTCCCTAAAGTCTATCTGAAGACCCCTTGCTCTGTCTACCTGGGATTAAGCAACCTTCTGTTAAGGGTATTATCCCATCTCTTGAATCCCTCTAGGGCAATATTTCGCGTATATAGATATATATATATGTATATACACACACACACACACACACACACGCACACACACACACACATATATATACATATACATATATATATAATCATTATATAAGTATGTTTTCTAGTGATTAAGTAAACCTTAAAATTATACACAACTAGGTTGGGCTTATAATTATACTAATTCACAGTGATGGTGTTTAAAGGCCCCTTTTTCCATTCTCTATCAGTACATTAAACAGGGATAATTAATGGTATTAATTAAAGAAAACAGACAAGACATATGAATCACTTACCCTGTAGAACAGGATCAGCTTCTCCTTGGTGATTCAGGTAGTATTCATTGCACAATGCTGCCAGAGCTGACACAGCAGCTTCCTAAAATAAAGTCAAACCTGGGAGGTTATAAAAAGCTTCTAATGCAATAATATGACTTGAAGAGACAACTAAGAAATAATTGTACTATTAATGACTATAAGCATAGTGATTCTTTATTTTTAATCAATAAAAATAGAAACAAGATGATGTCATTCTTTTCTAAGATACATATATATACACATATGTTCCAAACTCATACCATAAAAGATTCTCTTTGGAGAGTTGATAAATTGGTTCTCCATCAGAATCAATGTTCTCAAAACATTAAAGGCATTCTAAACAATAGATTTTTCTTCTTATCCAGTGAAATAAAATAGGGGAAAAAATACCATCATCACAAACAGAAATTAACCCAAACTAGCTCATTTTTATCAATGAACTTCAACAGAAAAAACATTCAAATGGAAAGATCACAACTCAGTTCCGGGAATGTCAAACCAGTATGACAAGTATGTCTGAATTGTCAAGAGTTGTGAGAAAACAATAAAGAGAAAATACTGTAAAAGGAGAGAAGATGTGTTTTGAAAAAAAAAAGTTTTTCAGAAAAATCCTGAATAGATTATAGATTTATAGCTGGAAGGGGTATAGAGGTCATTTAGCTTGACCCACTTTACTTTTTTAAATTTTATTTTTTCAATTAACACACATTTCTTTTCTTCTCCCAATTCCCTCATCCCTAATGTGAAAGGGAAAAAAATAGAAAAAAATAAAAAAAACCAACCATCTTTTACAACCTAGATTTCCAGCAAATCCTGGAGTATTTACATAAGAATCTTCCAGATAGTGGAAAGAATGATGATTCAATGGACAGGTGGAGTTGATGCAATCAGTTTTGTAAGCAGAAACATTCTTCATTCTAGCTAGGTGAGAGATACATAAGCTTCTAGATTTCCTTCAGAGATCCATAGAGGGGGAAAAAATGGTTTTCAAAAGGGAGATATGCAGGGGAAAGCTGGCTCCTCATTTCTTTGATTTCTACCTTGCCTGCCCAGAGACTTAGGTAAATTTCCCTTTTGATGAGATTATGATCTCTCTTTTGGTTGAGCAGAGACACCTCTGCTCCAAGTGCAGGGCTGTTTACCTAGGGTACTTTCTGTTGTATTCTAATTTGAAGAACTTCTCTAATTTCTGTTTGTTATTTGGATGGATAAATGGGTTTGCATCAACATTTGTGATGGTTTTTGGTGTAATTAGCTTTTCACTGGCAAGAGTCAAGCCTATGGGTATCAGCTCTGGGTTTTACCTTCATTATTTGGGTTATACCTATACATTACTCCTTTAAGTGATAGCAATCAGGAAAAGTGAGGCAGGTAGGTGGCTCAAAGATAGATCACTGGGCCTGGAATCAGGAAGACCTGCATTCAAATGTGAACTCAGATATTTACCAGCTGTGTGAACCTGGACAAGTCACTTAACCTCTGTTTGCCTTAATCCACTGGGAAAGGAAATGGTAAGCCACTCTAGTATCTTTGCTAAGAAAACCCCATGATAGCATTGCTGTATTATGGTTCATAAAGATCAAACACAACTGAACAAATGAACAATAATAACAGTCAAGAAAGTAGCTTGAACCTTAAAAAAGAAAAATCATTCCCTAGAACAGCAATATTTAGAAGGGCACATAGATATAATCTGAGTCCAGTATCCCTCTCTTTCTAAAGAGAATAGAACAGCCAGACTCAACACAGCTTCTATTACTTCCCTAAAGCCAGGGAAAAAAAGTCTTGTATAGGTGTCAGTAAGATGGCAGAAATCTATCAATGCTTCCCTGTAATTTATTTTTAGACAATCCATGTGGACATACATATCTTAAATAGGCAACACATATCATATCTGTAATCAATATGCATTTTGAAGCAAAAGAAATTCTCACATTATCCTTGTCCAAAAATGTATGACTCATTTTGTAACCTGAAGGAGTGAGTAGCACAGATCATCCTCAGTCCTCTGGAATCCTGCCAACCCACTCTAAAATGATTAATTTTATAAATGAGGAAAGTGAAGCCCCAAAAGGCGAAGAGCTGAGATGTGAACTTAGATTCTTCTACTTTAAAATGCCTGGCTCTAAAAACACTGGCTCTACCTAACATGTCATTCTCAAGAAGTGAATGGTGATCAGTTGAATTCAATGAACATTTATTAAGTGCCTATTATGTGCAAATCACTTGTTAGGGGCAGGTGTCACAAAGACAAAAATGAAAAAAGTCCTCTGTTCTTACGGAATTTACAACTCTTGGATGAATACAGCATGTACACTGTATAGATGAGTGAATACAAATTAATTTCAAGAGGGAGAAAACACTAACGAGATGAATCCTTGAGTAGGAAATAGCAATGGAGTCACTCTCTGAAGGAAGCTATACATTCTATGTGGCTAAGGTGAGAAGGGAACACAATCCAGATAGGGGAGAACATCTGTGCAAAAGTGTGGAGGTAGAAAACAGAATTTTGCATATATTAAACAAGTAGGAGGCCAGTGTGACTAGAAACAAGCATGGATGAAATCAAGCTAAAATCATTTATTAAGTGCCTATGTGCCAGTCACTGGTTTGTAACATAATTTTTAAAAGATCAATAATTTTATTAAAATAGAATTTGAAAAAAACACAATTTATAAAGTACACAGGAACATATAACATTAAAAAGTGAGATGACAGGCAGGATGGAAATAGTGGGTTTTGAAAGAGCCTAAAGTAACTTAAAGACCAAGTCCCATTCATGTTTGAAGAGTTAAAAGTCTTATTTCATCAAAAAATCTAATCTGATAGTAAAAATATTACTGTAATCAATGGTCCCTTTGAGGAGCGAAGATGATAGATATCTCTCAATTTCAAAATCTAAGTATAACATAACAATGAATTAACTCAGTCATGCTACTTTCCCACCGCCTTCATTACCTCAAGTTGTACTATGCATGTAAAAAACTTGGTTAACTACAAATGAGGGTTCCACTCTCAAAATATTTACATAGAAGCATATTAGTGAAAGTGTAGGAAAAAGAAAGATAACTTTATTGAATTCTGGAAGACAACTTAAATTATCCAAGTACTAGTGAAGTCACTTCTAATCTGTATTATGATTGGCACAGATGTTCTTGAACATCCCCTCTGAATCTAACAGTCTATGTATAAATCTATGAGTTTCTGGTATCATGCTAGAAAATTGTAAAAGTCATTTGCATTTGCAAACACCAGGGTTCCACCAATCAAGGCAGAATATCATATATATAATAACATTATTAATTATAACAAATATAATCATTATGATATTAACAAAATTATAAGAGGAAAGTAAGTATAGCACATAGATAGAGGGCTGGCATTGGAATCAAGTCAAGCTTTGCCTGCTTGTGTGATCTTGGGCAAATGACTTAACTTCCCTAGATACTATGTACCAGGAATGTAATAAGTAGTTTACAAATATGATCTCATTTGACCTTCACAACAATCGTTTGAAGTAGGTGCTACTACTACACCCATCTTACCATAGGCAGACAGGGATTTAAGTGATTTGTCCAGGGTGATACAGTTAGAAAGTATGTGAGGCTGGATTTGAACTCAGGTCTTCCTGAATTCAGGCTACTACATGGATAGTACCCTATTCATGGTGCCAGATAGCTGCCTCTACAAACATTTAGCACCTTTATATGACAAGAGAAAAAAAAAAACAGAAAATAATCACTGGCATGATCTTATTAAAAGTCAAAGAGTGTGAAAAGATAATTGTACCTTGATATGCTGTCTTGAAGTATTTGAGATAAGATGGAGATTTTTTAAACTATCATTTATTAACCACTGCCAGTTACCTGTTAAAAAAGAACAAAAATATATTTTACCTAATAAAGTAGCAAAGGAAATACCTGCAGTAAAAAAAAAAAACAAACATAAACAAACAAAAACCTTGATTTTTATAACACTTTTTATACCTTAATAGTTTTCCTGGTACATCAGTTTTTTCTGGAAAAAGAGTTCAAGAGAAAAAGTAGGTCTATATAGATGCAAGGGTGGGGAACCTGCAACCTTGGGGCCACATGTGGCCCCCTAGGTCCTCAAGTGAGGCCCTTTGACTGAATCCAAACTTCACAGAATAAATCACCTTAATAAAAGGATTTGTTCTGTAAAACCTGGACCCAGTCAAAAGACCAAGTCCAAAGACCTAAAAGGTCACATATGGCCTCGAGGCCATAGGTTCACCCCTGAATAGAGTCAAGTACCCTTGGGTAACTCTACAGAGTCCCTTAAACAAAAGCTTAGCTTAACAGACAAGGAAGTATGTCTTAATATGTACAAAAGTATAATTTTTAAAAGGTAAAATGCTTTTGGAAACATTATCACAGAAATGATGATAAAATCTGGCTATATTAAAAATGTTTTTTTACTAAAATAAAAAAAAAAATCTAGACACATCCACCACTGTCCCTCCCCATTTCAAGTCAAGTTGTGACTGTTTTTAGTTAAGGTAGTACCTCTGTTAAAAGGATATAAAAATTAGATCTCTCAAAATATTTTTTGAATTAATAAGTCCTTATTTTCTCTCTCTTCTCTCATCCCAACCTTCCCCATTTAAACAATGACCAAAAAAAAGGAAAGGAAAATCCTCATAACAAATATGCATAATTGTAAGCCAAGTATATTTCTACATTGCCCTCCTTAATGGCCAAGTCCAAAAAATATATCTCATTCTGCATTTTGAATCAATCATCAATCTAATAGGATGTACATAGTTAATATGTACATAATATGTTCTCTGGAATCCTGGTTGGGCACTGTATTTATCTGACTTTTTAAATATTGCTGTTGTTTTTTTAACAGTGTTGTTCTCTTTGTATAAATTGTTCTCCTACTTCTGCTCACTTTACAGCAGGTCATACAAATCTTCCCAGGTTTCTGTGAAACTGTCCTTCTTGTCATTTTGTATGACACAGAAATATTCCATTACATTCCTATGCCAAAACTGATGCGCACTCTTCTTGTTTCCAATTCTTTGCTCTAACAAAAAGAGCTGCTATAAATATTTTTGTAAACATAAATTTTTTTTCCTTTCTCTTCAATCTCTCTGAGGTATATGCTCAGTAGTATCACTAGGTCAAAAGACAGAATACTCAAGGCAGCTGGGTGGCACAGTACATAGAATGCTGTTTGCCTCAGCTTCCTTAATGGGAATAATAATTACAACTTCACAGGTTGTTGTGAGGATCAAATGATAACAATCAACAATCCACCATCTGAGAGAAATGCCACAAGCTACTCAGAGAATAAGGTCCATATTGGAAAAGCTAAGAGGACAATTTTAGCCTCAGTGTAAGATGAGATTCTCCTGGCTCAGTTTCTCCATTGTGTTCCTTTGCAAAGGAATGATATCCACCTGGCTACTCCTGAGTCTGGCTATGAGGTGGAACTGATACTGCATGGTTGGAAAACTGTGAATTATCTGAATTCTAAGGATGTTTTAATCCTGTCATATTTAGTATAAATCTTATCCCTGCTTTATCTTTTTATAGCAAATTTCTATAATCAGAGCAAGTGGTCAGTAAAAGATTTAAGCACAATGCAAGTGTGTGAGATCTTGCTGTTTTGACCTGAATGTGTAGTTATTCCAAATCCCAAATTACTGAAATTAAATCAGTTAACATCTTCAGTTTGGTTTGGGGAAGAGAATTTTAGTGCAATTAACCTATTTGGCCTAATCACTACTTAAGTATCCTCCCAAGTCTTTTGTAATCTGGCCAAGGGTGGAAAACTTCTACTTGGAAAAGTGCTGTTACTTCCCAATCTGATCCTCTTAAAGGAATTTGGAATCAGAATGGAAACTTTCAAGAAAGTAACAAGATCAGGTTAAATGTAAATTATTTTAATGGGGCTCTTGTACTTTTACTTCTCCCTATATTTTGGCCCTATAGACTTGCTTGTCAGGTTTGTGTCCTCTAGACTACAAGCCATTCACCTACACTTGGCAGCAAACAGTGGGTACTAGATTATTTCTCTGTCCCCTGGATGTAGCCTGTGCTCCCTTCCAGTCAACCTCCTCCCCAGGACTCCAGCAAGGCAGGGACAGCTGTATGCCCTTTGTCAGCAGGAAGCAGTTTCAGAAACCAAGATCTTCACCTCCTCATCTCAAAAGAATTTGGGTCCCATTTGTTTGAGGGGGGTATAATGGGGCATGGGCTCCAGACCCCTTCCCTCTTTGAATTTTCCCATGAATTCCAGGAACTCAGCCCCTGAACTCTAATCCTGGTATTTACCTGAGGCATCCTCAAATAATCCTTCCAACAGTCCTTTCATAATGGTCTATCTAACCTTCAATTCTCTGTTACTTCTAACCTAGCCCAACCCTTCATTGTCTATTACCTCCAGATTGCCCTGGCCTCTTCCCACCTTTGATTCCACCTAGACCCATTCCTTGACCACTGTACATAAGTGTCCATCTTGCCCCATTAAATTGCTCAGATTCTTAAAATCCAGCCAATAGTGCGGATTCTTAAAATCTCACCCATCTCAACCAGTGTTTTAATAAACCTTATCTCTGACTGAAAGAAGGCTTGACTTGAATTCTTTCAAGAAAGGACTCACATCTCTTGCCCTTGAACTTCAGAGTTCCCAGCACCCCTAAACCACACCTGTGTCATACTTTGGGTATGGGTACTTTTGGGTGCAGATCATTCTTGGTCCTGATTACAGAGGCTAAAACTAGGCCCCATCTTCTCTAGGAATTGTTTGACCTTGTCTCTTGCTGTGGTTCAGGCCCAGGTTATCTGGATGCAACATTAGGCTGGGGCTGTACAGATAATGTTTGGGACCTTTCTTTTGCTGTAACTGGGGCAATGAGGCTATCCTGGGACTGAAGCCTTTCTTCTGATGCTCTGGGATTCTTGTACCCTCTTAACACTAGGCTTTCTTGAGGGCCCTTCCACTGCCTCAAGATCCAGCTTAGATCTGTTCTGGTGTCTTCTGACACCAGAGCCACCCTGAATGTCAAATCAGGTTGCTTCCCACTTCACCATGTCTTCCATCTCCTCTGGCTTGTATCTATTCAGAGCTTCCACAGGACTCACAGGAGTTTTGCAATCTTTTTGTGTACTCCCGGTTTGGATAACATTTATAAGTGATTTGCTTTGGGTTTTCTTTTTCTTTCAATCTGGTACATTTTAGAGAAAAACTGGAGTATTTGTGAAGTATGTGGATTTCTCTAGGGTCTAACATTCCACTACTTTCCCAAAATACCCCTTCAAATTTTAAAATGGAAAATTCCTATGACCTTGACCTAACAGATGCATTTCTGGTTACATGATTTGACAGCAATGGAGAATGAATAGGAGAATAAATAGATAATAAACTAGCAAAATAAACTACAATGATTGAAAGCTACAAGTCGAAGTGAAAAAAATTACTTACCAATTATAGGATCACCTTGAAAAGGCATTTTGGAAAGTGACAAATTTTTTATCAAGGTGCAAACTAGAAAAAGAAAAAGGAAATTTTTTTTCTCATGAAAATTCCAAAGAAATATTTCAATTAATTCTGTTGTCAGAACCTGAAAGTTGTAGGTCAGTGATTTCAAACTCAAGTAGAAATGGGGCCACTAATCCATATATAAGGATCCCTGTGGACTACATATTGACCTAGTTTTAAAATGTGATATTATCTCTATTTTATTGTATTTTTATTTATTTCATTAAACATTTCCCAATTACATTTTAATCTGGTTCCAAACTTTTGCTGTAGGCAGAATCTTCCTAATACATCTAAAACATAAATCAGCTTCTTCTATATTGTTTTGTTATTACAACTTACCCAAAAATCTAAATATGTTTGCTAGACAACCAAGTCTGCACCCCTGAACTTTTTTTTTCTGGGGTTTAAATCATGGTAAGAATAAGCTCAAGGGGTAAGCACAAAGGTACAACTACCTTAGACTTAGGCCAGACCCAGAGGAGGCTGCAAAAATGTGTCAGAATTTGTAGAAGTACCTCTCTGGTATACTGGGAACCTGACTTAGTTCAGGGAAGAATCCAGATGGTATACATAGGTTTCCTGGTCCTACTCAATTCTGAAACTGTCCCACAAGCTTTACAGTTTTCTAAAGATTCAGGTTACTTGGAGAGAAGGGGGTTGTTATTACCTACGATCATGCTGCAATTATGGAATGGTATAGAGTAATCAATCTCTACATATGTGATTTATTTAACCCAAAGTTACTTACTAGTGAACTTGACTATATAGAGGTTTATCATCCTTGGTAGCTATTATAGTAGGTGGCACATGTGCTTGGAATTGTTTTAAAAAGTTTTCTGTCCCAGAGGGTATTCTTATTTTGTGACCTGCTAAGGTAGGAACTGAGTTTCTATCAAATACAGGGTGACTACCATATGCACAGATGGAACCCGCCTCTTCAATGGTTCCACACAATCCACATCAGGAAGTGAGTAATTAGAAAGTTACTTTGCCTACACCTGACTAGGGTGTGAGGAGACCTGTTTCGGACGTATTTTCAGAGAAATAAGAGAAGGGAACAAGAAAAGGGAAAAGGCATTTATTAAGTGTGTCTACTATCTGCCAAGCATTGAGCTAAATGCTTTACAAATATTATCTCCTTTGATTCTTACAACATCACTGAAAGGTAGGCATTATTATGATCCCTATTTTACAGTTAAGGAAATAGAGGCAGACAGAGGATAAATGACTTGCTGGTGTTACACAGCAAGAATTAGCAAGCTGGAGGAACTCAGATTGTCCAGATACTAGGCCCAGTACTCTAGCCCACCTAGCTGTCAATTAGCATATTGACCGGTAAATGGGTTTCTCAATTATTCTCCAGAGTCAGGAACTGCCAAAGATAAAAGAAATCATCATCTTTGGCAGTTCTTACACCAGTTGATTAAATCACTGAACTACTAGGAGATGGAGAGTGAGGCCAGGCCAAGAATGATAATCACAGGACAGCAAACCCAGTAAAGAACCTAACTCAAAGGGACTCAATGTGGTAGTGTTTTATGAAAGTGTGGAAGATTGACTAAAGGTGATTGCTTTGAAGATTCTGATAAAAGCAAGCCCCTAATTTGCTGCTACCTTGGCATTACACATAGTAAACAGAAGGGACATACACTCTACATAAACATGGAGGGAAGTGCCTTCAGATAAGGGCTGAATTCATGCCAAAGACCTGACATTGTTAACTAGTGTTAACTAATATTTTCTCTACAGAAATATATAAAAATCTACTTTGTACCTTTGAGTACATCTCATGAAGCAGTAAAAGTTAAAGGAAAAGAAGATGGTAACTTGAAATGAAAGGGAAGAATTTAATTGAGTCCTCAGAAAAGTTTTGTCTTGAGATGTAGCACAATAATGACTGTCTCAATGGTCAAACTATGAATTTGCCCTTTGGTGGCACAGTGGAAAAAGCACTGAATCAGAAAAACAGAGCACTGACTAAGAAGAAGAATCAGGAGAAGTTCTACTAATTCTACTTATTTCTACTAATTACTACTTATTATGATATTGGATAAATTATTATAAATAATTCATTCCACTTTAGGTTTATAGAGTACTTTCCTCAGAAGACACTTAAGAAGTTGGTAAGGCAAGTATTATAACTCCATCTTGCAGATAAGGAAACTGAGATTTACTGAGGTTCTTAGAAACAGAGATCTAGAACTGGGAAGAATCCCAAAAGTTATGTTATCTCATTTTATATATGAAGAAATTGCAGTTTGGTGAGATTTCCAGAATCATACAACTGTTAAATATGCAAATTAGGATTTGAACCCAGGTCTTTCATGATTTTAAGTTCAGCTCTTTTTTTACTATGTGATGTGACCTCTCCCATCATTAATTTCCACACTGTAAAATGAGGGGGCAGGAAGAAATGATCTCTAAGGCCTTATCTACATTTTTATGATTAATCCAATTGCAAGACAGAAGGTTAAATTTCCCCCACAAAGGCAGTAATCCTTGAAGGATGGAGGTAATGAAAAAACATAATAAAGACTACTTATGTTTATGTAGCATTTTGATGATAATTGCCATGCTATTCTTATTAAGGAAAATATGAGGGCAGCCAGGTGGCACAGTGCAGGGTCGGGAGTCAGAAAGACTCATCTTCCTGCTCTGGCCTCAGACACTTACTAGCTGTGTGACCCAGGATAAGTCACTTACCCTGTTTGCCTCAGCTTCCTCATCTGTAAAATGAGCTGGAGAAGGAAATGGCAAGCTACTCTAGTATCTTTGACAAGAAAACCCCAAATGGGGTTACAAAGAATTAGACACATCTGAAAAATGACCAAACAAGAACAGTAACAACTTTTATTAAGGCTGAGAAACAGCATGGATCTGCTAAATATATTCTTCTACCCCATCTCCAACTAAGTCACTATTTTCAGAAGAGAAATGCTGAGCTAGTAAGCTGGGGAAAGCATATTTCTTCTCATCCAATGGCTGGGTTACAGCTCCAAATTGCTGATCCTGAATCACAGAAACTCATCCATTAAAATCAGTCACCCACTACAAAGAAATGATATCATCTGTGCAGCTTTAGTCTAAAGGGCAAAAACAACGTCTTTATATCTAGCAAAATAAACCAAGTATTGCAAAACTATTATATAACACTAACCAAAAGTTCACTGACTGTTGAACTGCCAATTTTAATTATCCATATTGATAGCAATACGTTAATAGATGTCAAATACACAAGAAATTTAGCTAAACCACAACTGCCAATAGCTCAGCAGAGCTCCAAGTCACTGTTGAAACACATTGACCAAACAAGGGCAATTTAAATACTCCCAGAAACTTGGGTATGGGTATTGAAAAAAATTGCATTTTTATAATTTTGGCATTCATCATTTATTCCAAATCAATTTCAACAGAAATTAAAATATATTGAAAAAATATATTGAACTATGTCAAGTTTAGTTCTGTATCATAAAATTACATAATTCTAGCATTAGAAGTTATCTCAGAGACAATATAGTATAAACAATGGGCAGGCCCTTTTTCCTATCCCAAGCCTTATTTGTTTGTATTTTTCTTAAATTTATTTGGTAAAGAATAGATCTGCCAAATAATTTTAGGTTGTTTTGCATAAATACCCGTGGTCAAACCTGTTCTTATGTTGCACGGTGTCCCTCTGTGGCATGAGAGAGCCGTAGAGGAGAAACAGACCTTTCCTAGCACAAGCCTAGAAGTCCAACACCCAGCGCACTATTAGAAAGTTCTCTCAACCTGGGGGCATGAGCAAGAGCAATTTTATAACTATACTTTTAAGTGGAGAATCACTATGAATCCGTGCATAAATCTACATCATAGAAGGGAGTCCAAATTACAAACATAAACCACATGAGGGCAGGGGCTGCTTTATGTTTTTATGCTTGTATATCCTGGAATATAGTACAAAATAATACTTTGATTGATTTGACTGCTTATTTAAAGGATATTATATATGTTGTGGTGATGGGACACTAAAGATGGACTCCTAAAAGGTCCTGGACTTTACCACGTTGCCCAGGTCCCTGGTGTTCGCCTGGGGCATCCAGCCCTTCCAAGTCCTTCTCTGTTACTTCCTAATCACTCCAGACCCTCCTAGGTCCCATCCAGATCTTCCCAGAGTTTTTCTGTATAAAAGGTCCATCTTGCCTCCATTAAAGGGCTCAGATACCTTAAGAGTCTGGCCCAGTTGTATTCTCATTACAAAGGCTCAGATCCTTAAAATCTGGCCAATAGCATGGATTCTTAAAATCTTTCCCACTTCAATCGGTGTTTTAATAAACCTTGTCTCTGACTAACAGAAGGCTTGAGTCAAATTCATTCAAGGCAGCACCTGCCTCTTCTGCCCTTGAATTTTGGGGTTCCCAGTACCCCTAAATTTCAACAGTAGAGGAGCATTCTCCTAACCCCTCATCTCTCTTATTTCTTTAAAATGTACTTGAAGACTGGATTAGCTCAGAGGATAAAGGTTCAACCTGTTGAACCTAAATTACTCAGGGTTTAGCCTGAGATGGGCAAGGAAGCGGAAGGAGAACCTAGCCTGGCCTTCATGCTTTCTGGCAGGGTGCTTTTTTTTTCTTCTTTTTTACTAATTTATTTTGATTTATCAATAATCACTTCTATAAGCTTTTGAGCTTTAAATTTTTCTCCTGCTCCCTCCTCCCCTCCCTCCCCAAGATGGCATGCAATCTGATTTAAGTTACACATATACATTCCTATTAGACATATTTTTGCATTAGTCATGTTGTAAGGAAGAATTAGAACCAATAGGAGGAACCACAAGAAAAGAGGAAACAAAAGAAAACAGAAGAGAAAAAAGAGCAAATAGTATGCTTCAATCTGCATTCAAACTCCACAGTTCTGTCTCTGGATGTAGATAGCATCATGAGACTTCGGGAGATGTCTTAGATCCTTGCATTGCTGAGAAGGGCTAAGTCTACCAAACTTAGTCATCACACAATGTGGCTGTTACC